AATTTGATTAGAAGAAAAATACAAATTATGAATTACATATTCATTACTAAATTACATAAGTAAAGAAGTAGGACACATGTTTGGAAGGAGCTAAGGAGACGATTAATTCGGGAATGAGGGATTAAATGCTAAGGGTTAAATATGTTTTTGATCCCCGTGAATATAACAAATTTTACTTCTGATACCTCTAAAATATAGACACAGAGCAAATTAATTTCTCATACATCTTTTATGTGCCTGAAACAGGCGGCTTCAAACCCCTTATGTTCATTCAATTCCTTTTCATATTTTTTTCCCTATTGAATCATATCACACTGTCAATATTGTCATTACCTCGGAAAACAAGGGAATGGAAAGATTACACAAATTATGAGCACATATGAGAAAAAATCTTGAAAGTAGGAACAGACTTGGAGAATATTATATTATGAAAAAGGTCTAACAAAAATGAATAAAAGAAGAAATAATAAAAAAACAAATTTAGTGAGTCATTTAAATCAAAGGAGTTAGAATTCAACCCAAAAGACTCTTCTTTTTTTCTTCTATGCATATGAAGTTTAACTTTTTATATTTTTGAAAAACAGAAGATATATATATGTTCATAACTAAAAACAGTACATTTGATTTTAAATTACAAATTTTAAATAAAACTGAATAAACTAAGGACTTGTATTACAAATTATATCTAACAAATGAAACCATTGACTCTTTTTCTGTTTGCAAAGATGAGATATGAAAAAAAGATCACACATAGTGAAGTCTCAAGTAATCGCCTCAACTTGGAAACTTCTCCACTGGGATTGGTTTAAGTTTTAAAAGCTATTAATTTTTGAATTCCTATGTGCATTTGGGAACCTAATACACATAGAGAGCTGCATTACAATTTTATCATAATAGTGTAAACAATTAATCATATTCTTCTAAACTTGTGCATATACCATTACAGATTTATCCTTAAATTTCTAAATGATACACCAACAGTAGATAAACCATACTAAATGGTCATCCTAGCATCATTTATTTCATTATACTAATATGGCTATCCATGTTTCATGATAAAAAACAGTGTGGCTAATTAATGGATTCCTTATAGAATAAGCATTGAACAACATGAAGTAGATAAAGGTGGCCAACATATAATTTTGTTAGCAATAAAAAAACAAATCTTGATGCATATTTTTTCAACTGCAATAATTAAAAGATAGGAATTTTTTAAATAAATCAGATTTTTACTTCAACTTCCTAAAATTTCAATTACTCATGTAAATGATAAATATGGGGCTATTTTTTTGGGTGTTATGAATCAAATAAAGGAGTATTGTTATAACTCATAGGCTAAACTAATTAGTAATTACCCTTAAACTTTTTTCAGTCTCAAACAATCAAATTGATAATTAAAGGAAACTAATTTTTCATCAAATTAGAGAATTTTTTAAAGAACCTTCATGCACCACTCAGAACCCAATATAGTAGATTCTTAATTTATTCCAGAAATTGAACCCGAAATTCCTCAAATTTGAATGTTCTAATTTCAGATTTAAGATTTGTAGGCTAAAAAGTTTTAAAAAGTAGCATACAATTCAATTTCAAACAACCAAATCAGAAAAGTTCTCAAAGAACTTGAAGGCAGTCAGGGGAACGTAGGAAACGAAGAACAAAATCAGAGAAGCAGGGTACCTGGCGGAAGTATATATACAAAGCAGCGATACAAGGGCAACTATCTCATTAAAAGATTGGGGAAATCCGAATCAGATTTTTTGTCAAAGAGAGAAAAGATAGGAAAACGAAGAAGAAGAAGAAAGAAAAGAAAAGGGGTGTATCGGGTAGGCGAAGGGGCTGAAGAAATAGAAACATTGTGAAAGAGAAATAAGCCTCCGCCCACACAGTAGTGCGATGTACAGGTAGATAACGGAGTTAAAATTAAACGGTAAAAAGACTATGTTGGATGCAATGGGCTCTTATTAAATAAGGGGAGATGTTGCCTTAGCTTGTACAGCTATATATAGTTATATACTGATCAAGTTTGTATTCAATAAAACACATACGAAAACATTCCCCATATTGTTCTCAATAGTTTAACAATAATAGTAATAATAATACTTCCTCCGTCCACAAATAAACTTTACATTGCGCGTTACAATGTTTGACTGAAGTTATTTTCAAATCATTTTATATGAAAAATGGTGTAGAATTGAAAAATAAAAATTACATATTAAAAAATTATATCAAAAGATCTACAAAACTAGAGGTGACATGACTATATTATTTTATCAAATGAGTGACGAAAATAGGTCAACAAAGTAAATAAAGTTTGACCCTATGAATAGTGGATGTAAAGTTTATTTGTGGGCGGAGGGAGTAATATAATGATGATGATGATAGTTACATTAGCATAAAATAATGCTGTGTAACAACAATACTCCCTCCGTCCGAAAATATTCTTCCCATTTTCCTTTTTGGTCCGTCCGAAAATAATCTTCTCATTTCCTTTTTTAGTATGCTTTTTAAGGCTAAATATCAATAATACCCTTCTATTTTATCACAAATCTACTTTTTTAATACTTTTTTAATAATAAAAGAAGATTTAAAAGTTTATAGTTTGTGTATTTTTGAAAATTTTGCATTTTTTTTACTATTCCTTAATAAGCGTGCCAAGTCAACATGGGAAGAAAATTTCCGGACGGAGGGAGTAATATTTTTTACAGAGTAACACTATATAGAGACACATACATATTTATTTTGAAAAAAAAAAGAGATTCTTATAAGTTTATTTAATCAAATGTTCACATTTTTTTGTACTCCATCCATCCTTAAGTATTTGTCTACTTTTAACTTTTTTCGGTCAAAATTGGTAAACTTTGACTTCAAAATAAATAAAAATGATAGTATTAGATATTGATACAAATATTTTTGAAAACTAGTTTTATTAGATTTATTATATCAAATATATTTATATTATTTTATCTAATTAGTAAACAACATATACTTTATATAGATCAAAGGTTAAAAACCATTGATCCAAAAAGTTAAAACTGGACAAATACACAAGAACAAATACATAGCATTTTTTATCGTACTTTGGTCATTATATTCAAACAAATAAAAGAATATTATCAAACAAAACACCTTGCATATATTAGTCGATTCCTTTACAATATATTCATCATAGTTTTCATATCAAATACAACCTTCGTCGTCCTAATGTTTTTGTCCAGTTTGACATTTCCGAGTCAAACTGGATAAACTTTGATTTTCGATCCTATTACTCTCAATTTGTATTTAATATTACTATAATAAAATAAAATTTTGAAACTTTCCAACAAGATATTATTTTTCTAATAAAATCATTTTTTTACTTATTTACATTACTATTTTGTTCAATTGAAGCTCAAAGTTCCTCTTGTTTGACCCAAAAAAAATAAAAAAATAAACTGGCACAAGTAGAGTCTAGGACTATTACTTACTCCATCTCCTAAACTTCTTCTCTTTTCTTTTTTCATTGTCTCATAAAGTCTTAGCTTGCACATTTCTATTAAAAAAATTATTTTGCCCCTATTAATTTTTATCCTAATTATCTCATTTTATCTTTTTACGAAATACTACCTTCGTCCCAAAGTATTTGTCCACTTTCATTTATACACCTTTCAATACACTTCTTTAATCCATTTTATCTTGTAATTTGTATATTAAAAAATTATAGAAATTATATATTAATAATCCGACAAATGAAACAAGATCACACATGACTATATTTAGGCTTACACATTGAGAGAATTTGATTGGTCAAAGTGCTTAAATGAACAGTTACAAAAATCAAAAGTAGACGAATATAGCAAGACGGAAGGAGTATAAAACAATCACATTCTACTTTTAGTCATCATATTAAGGGTATTTTTGAAAAGTGGGCACAAAAACATCTCTCTTAACTCTCTTAAAAGCCAAAATGAGGACTTTAAGAGGGAGAGGAAATAAGACATTTCTATATTTAAGTTTTATTTCTATAAATTTGACTCCATAGATGTGCATGCATGATAATTAAGAACATTTATTAGAGAGTAGTATTTAGTGAGTGTGTGGAGAAGTTAATTACCTTGAGAGTGAGCCACTTCCAGAAGGCGGCTAAAACACGAGTAGCCCATGCAGATGCAGCGGCCGCCGGCGGGGAGAAAAATGCTAAAACACTAGCCCATGTGAAGGCTACAAGCTGTCGGAGTCGGCTCTCCCGACGCCTCTCTGGTGTAGCTGGTGGCGTGTCGCCTACTGAAGTACCTCCCGACACAGTATCCATGCTTGCTCTGAGATGGAAGTAGTGTGAAAATTTTCAACTATATATATTTTAAAAAAGGAGTTGTGCCATCATAGTTCTATGATTGATCAAATTAAAGAGAACCTAAAACTTGTTTCAAGATAGTGACTAGGTTCGTATATTACGGAGTACATTTCATGAAAATTAAAATAAAAAGATAATTTGTGAACAAAAGGAGTGGTCAAGTTGATAAGACCCAATATGCAAGATTCAAAATACTTTATGAACACTCCCTCTATCTCTTGGTCAAATATTATAATTTTGACATTGATATGTACGTAGAAATTAATTGTGTTTGGATATTAATGCAATTATAATATCAATAATTTTCTTTGAAACCTAATTTTGAAATACTAAAATTTTATAAATACATTTATGTATGTATGAATATCAATGATAATGGTCGAATCTCGATGGAGATCAAGAGAGTATAAAATAAGATATGACATGCATAGTTATTTTATCCTTCGTATTAGGAAATAAGTAATGAATTGAAAATAAGTAAATAAATTTCAACTATACAAATAAAACTATACCCTGAAATATGTTCCAATTCCATTTTTTCATGTCATACTTAATTAACTTTAATTTGATCACTAGTCAAATAAATAAACACTACTTTTGTTTCAGTGATCTATTTGAACCATCTATCTCCTATTTCCAAATCTTATGAGTCCGCGGATAAATTGGACCAAAAAGAAAAAAAACTGAGTAAATCATACTCCATCCATCCCTACCTAATTGTCTACTCTCGATTTTTTTGGTTAAAATGGGTAAATGTTGACCTTAAATTAAATAAAAATGATATTGGATATTGATATAAAAATAATTTTATTACATTTATTATAGTTTTATTATATTTAGTATATCAAACATTTTCAAAATATTATTTTATCTAATTAATATACAATAAGTATATTTTATTTAATTATAAATCAAAAAATAAAAAAAATTGACCTAAAAAATCAGAATTGACATTTAGTGAAGGGAGGTAGTAATCGGTGTATAAACCGCATTTGAAATGAATCAAATGATCAAATGCAATTATGCAACAATATACAGTAATAAATACTGAGCAGAGTAAATATTCCGTACGGCTTTGGAAGGCCTGCTCATGTGAGTTAAAAATTCACCTTACATGAGATAAGTAAAATCAAAACAATCGGATCGATCAAAATAATGAGCACAAACAATGAACAGTGATGCATTACGGAGTAAAACATTGTAAACGAAACAAAAAAGAAATCTGGAAATCATAAGAAATTTCATTTTGAACGGCCGGAAAGTAAGATTTGGATGAAATAATCCAATAATTAACAAATACGAACGGAGTAATACGTCCTCGTAACAGATTAGGGCAGCAGGCCAGGCCGGGAAATGATATAAAGCCAGGAAAAAAAACATTCTCGCCGCCGGCCCGGTCGCCGGAGTGCAGAGCATATATACCGGCACTACTCCGGCGACTGTGTGTGTGCGCGCGCGTGTCAGCAGGAGAAAAAAGGGATAGATGGAATGGTAGAACTTACAGTAGAGATGACGACCGGATAGAGATGACCGGATAGAGATGACCGGAGCTCTGATCGATGGAGCAGACGGACTATTGAAGATTCAGGGATTGAACGGTATCCCTATATAGACGGGAGGGAGACAGAGAAAATATCAGCCCGTCCTGCCCCTCCCTGCCCCGCTGCCCAGCTAGTACGGTACTGCGAGAATATCGGGCGATGGTAATCTCTTTGCTTGTCTTTACTCGAGCTACTGCTTATTTTTGCTACGTGTTTACAATATTTTCATCCCCTCAAAAAACTATTTATTACTCCCTCCGTCCTAAAATTTTCTTCTCAGTTTGACTTTTCGTCATTTTTAATTTTTGGCTTTGATTTCAAATTTTACCCTCTTTAAAAAAGATTTTTTGAATTTTTTTAATCATTCAAAACATAGAGTTAGAAGATAATTGGTGTAAATACATGAGGGTATTAATGTCATTTGTCACCTTTTTTTCTAATGGGAAGGTAGTTTTAGGACGGAGAAAAATGGGAAGTGGGAAGAAAGTTTTAGGACGTAGGGAGTATATATTAGTACAAAATTTATTTAATTCTATTTTTCTCGTAAAAATTTTTTAAAAATTTATTCTGTTGTGTGATTCATCTGAGTTGTTGTTTTTGTATTCTGTTGTATAAATATATACAATGGAATTTAGTTAACTGATATTTAAAACTTATTCAATTTGACATAATAAGTACTTAATTGGATAGTTGAATACAATTTTATACTTTAATTCTCCTATTGAAAAAAAACCATTTTATAATAAATTAATATTAAAACAAATATATGTGTACAAATTTTTTTTCCGAACAATGAAATAGAATGTCACACTTTGGCGTGATATATTTCTAGAAATAAAAAGAATTCAGTATACATGTGACAAGTGTATGGAATATCAAGCATGTCGTGCAGAAGCAAGTCATTATTTTTGTTATTTTTTACTACCTCCATTTCAGTGTGTTTGTCCAGTTTGACTTTTTTAAATCAAACTGGACAAATTTTGAATTCCAATCACTTTCAATTTATATTGCATATTAGCATAATGAAATACAATTTTGAAAGTTTTCAATACGATAAATCTAATGTAGTCATTTTTATGTTAAAATGCATTACGACTTTTAATTAATTGAAACTTAAAATTTGTCTAGTTTGACTCGAAAAAGTCAAACTGTACAAATACACTAGGACGTAGAGAATATAAATTTTAAACATATTTTAAGTATTAAAAATTATTTCATTTACTTTTATAAAAAATAAATGTAATGTACCCCTTTTCAAAAAAACTTCTTTATTTCCTTTACAAAAAAAATTAAAAAAACACTAGAAAAAATGAGGTGACATGACAAGCATGTTTGGGTGATGCCTCGCCCGCTGCTGTGCTCCTACCGCTGGCGATGGCGTAGAGTAGAAAAAACATAGGGTGGGGTTCCCATGACATTATGACTCGGAGCGCTCCGGTGCATCATTCGTAAAATTGACGGTTCCTACCCTCCCTAACCCCCCGGTAAAACCCTCCCACCCCGACCCGAACACACCCCCTACCCCCGTCAATTGCACCCCACAAGTTGACTCCAAAGTCAAAATCAACTTGTGGGGTGCAACTGACGGGGGTAGGGGGAGTGTGTTCGGGTCGGGGCGGGGTAGGGGGTTTACCGGGGGGTTAGGGGGGTAGGAACTGTCAATTTTACGAATGGGGCACCGGAGCGCCCCCGAGTCATCCCATGACATTGGTACCCAATGTCATGTGAACCTTGGTGAAAAACATATGGCATAAATTAAATCTATATGAAGTTGTGGAGGGGCAGGACGGCGATGGAGGTGGCGGGTGAATTGGAAGAGAACACATATGATGTGTTTAATGAAAGTGAAATTTGTTCAAAGTATCTCAAAAGTTAAACACTTTTTTCCAAATGGCACGGAATAAGTTTTTTTTTTAAAACTAACATTTAATTAATTAATTATTAATAATATACATTTACTAAAATAACCTTATATCTTAATTATTTTGTACTCCCTCCGTCTCATAAAGTTTTACCCATTTTGACTAAAATAGAAATTAAGGGATGTATAATTTTGTGTTGACTTTCCAAAAATACCCTTGATATGATGGGTAAAAGTAGGATGTGATGTGTAGATTATTAGAAAAAATGTATGATGTGATAGGTAGGGTTTAAAAAGGTAAGGGGTAAAAGTATTTTTTTAATAAAAATGGGTAGAAGATTGTGGGACATAATTTTTTTGAAAGCTAAGTTGTAAATCTTTTTGGAACGGAAGAAGTATTTTGTATAAAATATACTCCGGGGTAGACTGATTTTTCTCCCTTTGATTGGTTCCGTCTTTCCGTGATTTGTCTGCTTGTATTCTCATTTTGATGGACATTGTAAAAATTATTGACATAATTCATTGATCAGGGGCGCTATAAAGATTATGGACATGTGATATTATAAAAATTATAGACATTATTTATTGATCGAATAAAAATATTGATAGCTAATGTAGTGGACATTTATTATTGCGACAACGTCTTTTTTCAACTAGTAATGTCTTGACATGGAACATGTAGACATTAACAATGTTATTAAATACTATTAGAGTGAAATCACAAAAATCATTAAATCTTGCATAATAGACATTAAAGGAGTGGCATGCAGGGCACTGATGTCGGTATTTTGTGATTGATAGCCGGCAGAGGACAGTAGGAAGTGGTAGAACAGTAAATATAAATTATACTACGTACTCCGTATAAATTAAAGGGTATTTTAGTACACAAATTGATAATTAATTAATTAGGTACTAGTTACGTAAATTAAAACTTGCATGTCTTGCAATAAAGGAAAATTCACTTTGTTTAAGTGTTAATTAAGTAAAATTTTCCTTAATGAAATTAACTATTGTATATATTAAAGTTCATCCAATTTTACTCGAGAAAAAATCAAACTCGATTAAGATTATGTAAATGAGTTAATTATTGCTCTTTGTATCTACTTATATTTTTCTTTATTTGACTTTTTACCGTGTTTAGTACTACATTTTTACAATCAATTTAATTATTAATAAATAGATTTATATACTCTTTTTTATAGAAATGAAAATGAATTTATTAACATTAAATTTATATTAGAATTCAATGTATTTCTTTAATTTATAATCGAAATTTAAAATTATTAACCATGCAAGTCAAATTGAAAAGAATCTAAGTGGACGAAATGGGTAATTAATTTATAGAATTTTATCCGAGTTTTATATTTTGTTAAGCTGACAGTGTTTATATCTTATTTGATGAGATTATTTTTTTATTTTAATTCTCCCTCTAACCCTAAATATTTATCTAGTTTTTTTGTAATCAAAATTGATAATATTTAATCACTAATTGAATATATTGATATTATATTTGGATAAAAATAGTTTGATTATATTTATTTTATAAAACATATTCAAAATATTATTTTCTCCAATTAATGTACCACATAAATTTAATTAATTTATAAAAAAATGATTAATTGCAAAAAATACTCAAAGTTGAATAAATACTCAAAAGGGAAGAGAGTAATCCATTTGTATCGGTTTTCTCGGTAATGAATTTTTCCAACCGGAAGTATTTGAATCAGTAATTAGCTATAACCGATTCAAAAGTCTTTTGAATCAGTTATCTTTAATAACAAGTTAAATACTTCTGGTCTTTTAAATCGGTTATTAGTAATAATTTGAATCAATTATTGCTAATAATCGATTTAAAAAATCGAATAAAAATAAGTCACTGGGGTCTCATCTCTTCATGCGATTTTATTTTTTTTCATAGCTGGCATCCCTCGTTGTTGCAGTCATCACCGTACGTAGTTGCCTCTTTCGTCGTCGCATATTCGCCGTCACAGATTAATGGTAAAGAATGAAGTCTACATCTGATATTTAAAGATGATATATCCTTAACACAGTTGCATCTTATCACACTTGTCTAAAATTAAATTCAGATATAATCTCATTGGACACCCCTTGTCTTAAAAATTGCACAATGCTACCCGGCCCAAACTTTAGAAGGTGATTTTTTATACTACTCAGCACCTCGCATTGCGGCCCACCACAAGAAACTTCATCGCCGACCCACGTGTTAGTATATACTGCTTGCCCTACTCGTTTGGTCATGCCCCAACTAGGATTGAGATTTTTAGAGTGTCCGTAACACTGATACCTACGAAGACATAATCAAACTCTCGAACTCATACTCTCTCCGTCCCCAATAGATCTTTCCAATAACATATTTTCTTTATTCACAATAGATCTTCTCATTTCATTTTTTAACAATTTAAATACCACAACTATCATCACTTACTTTATTTATGACACGTCACTCATCTCATTTAATACACTCCACCCATTTTCATTAAGGGTATTATAATAAACTTTCACTTTTTTTAATCCTTCTTAAAAATTACCAAAAGTCAAAATGAGATATCTTAAAAAGACTAAGGGAGACTCGGATTCAAAATGTGTTATATGTATTGTAAAAAAATGCTCAATATCTTTATACTCTGGCATGTAGGAATGCTCATTCGTATATATCCGATTCAATCTAATTTTTCGGATATCCAAAATTTTTGAATCAGTAAATATTCTCTCCGTATTTCATGTTGAATCAGAAAATTATCGGATACCCGGAGTTTTGAATATCCGAATTTTGAATAGGTGGCAGGTCGAATGAAACGTTACAGTGGCTGGTCGAAAGATCTTTTGGCAGGTCTGGAAACATGAGAAAAAGAAAAAACCCCACAGATCCAATAAAATTCCTCTGCGTCTTCATCCCTACTGCCTTTACCTTCATCCTTTTCATCTCAATCCTCAAAATCCACGAGCCCAACGGCACGATCCGCTCACGGGAAGGTGAGAAGACGGTGATCGGAACTCTGGGAGAATCGGTGATCGGGATGTTGCCTGACGATCTAGGGTTCACATTATTCCTGCCGTCGGAGAAAGCTCTGTTGAATCTGCGGAGGCGTTCGCTGAACGGCAGCTCTCCGCCGAACGAAGACGGGGACACCCACGCGATGCTCACTCGCGTGTT